TAGAGAATGAGACATCAGCAGTGTTTTAGAAACCTTGTACCGCAACAAGCATCATTTGAAATCTGCAGGATAGTGTCAGCATCAAATGGTATGCATTCGTATGGTACAGCTACTAATGTGGATTCAGCTGACAGTCTGCTACGGTTCACTCCGTAGCAAACAATCGCTCTGGCTTGATTTGTGCTGAAACACCTAGAAGGTTGTGAGAGAGATGGACCGAGAAGTTTATTTCCAGCGTTTTTCAGGCACACTCCATTGAATAAAAGAAATATTGGAGAACAACAAACAACAAAAGACATGAATTTAAGAGGTGAAGCAATTGAGAAAGGCCTATACATTTAAAGACTCAAAGTTTTTTGGCGTTAATCAATCCCGTCTGAGGGATGCGCCCCACGAGGGCTATACATTAGGACTAGATAACTTGTGATGGAGAACACTCATCAGACACAAATCGATGTCCTCTTTTAACCTTGCCCAACAAACCCTTGTAGGAACGAAAATGCGAAGTTTTCTTGGATTGGTTTACACTTATACCGGGGTATTAGGTTGACTGCTCACACGATGGAACTCTACGAGCGGTTAGGACCGGAGATTTAGGGAGCTAGCCCGCATTTTGATTCGACTTTATGCCAGGAAGGTCTAAAACAAATGCCATCTTCAGAACCATGCAAGTGATTGAGAAGTGTTGAGAAAAGGCAGATCATGTTACCTAGCCTTTCTCGATCAGGAAAGGGCGTTTGGCTGTTCACCGTGAGAAGTTCCGGGAGAAAGCTCTGAGAACAACTGATCTCGCGGATCAGGGTCGGACCAAAACTGCTGATATTCTAGCTTCTCATAAACCCTTAACCTATTTCTGTTAACGAAACAGTGCAGAAACTCCACTATCACACTGAAAGCAGGTTCTAAGATTTATCTTGAACTGTACTTTTAAGGCACGAGCAAGTAAGTGTACTGAAACGAAGAGGCATTTTATAGGTATGTAGGTGCTGGCCGTCCATTCTAGTTTACCTTGTTTCTGAGTATAGTTCATCAAGAACGGAAACAATGTTAGCCATAAGGAAAGGAAAGAACAGAATTGACAATGGCACAGTTCTCGCAGCCAATTCTCTCTGATGTTGCTCTGTTCCGATATAAATGGACTGTACCTAGGAGGATACTCTCTTATATAACTAGACTTCGAGGAATATCATGAATTCCTTGAACTGAAACTCTTTTCTCACAAGGTTGGCGAATTATGGACAAAACTTCAGTCTCGGACGGGACTCGAACCCGTACCCGTGCTTTCTGGCCACCGTGCTCTATCCCTTACCCTACCGAGACCCTTCCCTTGCGAATGGCGAGGGCAAGTGGGGCCTCGGTAGTGTAAGGGATTGAGCACGGTGCCCGGAAAGCACAAGTGCGGGTTCGAGTCCCGTCCGAGACTGAAGCTTTGTCCATAAGTCGCCAGCCTTGTGAGACTTTCGAAACGCGTACTGCGGCAATATAACAGCAGTTAACAAGACATCAAGTTGAAACTCTTGTGTCAAGTTCCTTGATTCCGCTCTCGAATACGCCTATGCTTGGAGTCTCTTACACCTTGAGCAACAACGTCTTGATCAAACTCGAAGTTTCGAAACTCGCTATGCTTTTTTTTTGCAAGTTCAAAAGAAACACCATCCTGCTCTCGATCACTGAGCGCACGACGTTAAGAAACGTCCCAAGGCTTGAGCGACGTAAACGTTTTCTGTAACTGGATTCAAGCTGGGCAGGATGTTCGCGCAGGTGAGGTCACAATTTTTCCAGTGGGGAGGGAGTGGTAGTGTTCGGCCTCGCCGAGCATGGGTGAGCCACACACTACCAATTGCCTCACAATCAATGATTGAAGATTGGGAAGAAATGACCAGTTTCTCTAATTGCAGGATATTCTAAAATGTCTTGCAAGATCTGGACTTTTACGTACAATTCTTCCTTATCGAAATACAGCCATATCGTCTCATAAAGAGTTTGCCGCTAATCTGCATTATGTACTTTTTTCTCTTCCTTTACAGGAAATACTGTTTTTCTTACGAAATTCATGAAAGGCGAGGAAGAAATGTTCAGTAGCCCATCTACGTATGCATGCACCTGATAATTAAATATATTGCTTTTTTATTTTCTACAGGGGAAAGTCTGATCATAATTTTTCTCAGCAGTCGAACTACTTGACCAACAAAATCTCCTCTCTTCCGGATCTGGTTGAAGGCACAGTTTACGACAATTTCCAGATGGTGCGGTATATAAAGAGGGGGTCCGGGAACTTCTCCCCTAACACGGCGTCGCACACGCCGCATCCGCCGCCTATTGCAGGATTGCGATGAAAGATTGGAGCGCGCAATTTGTGAGGTAGGGAGTCCTTTAATCATTTGAATTGGCTGGTCGCTCCCTTCAATTTCAATGCGGTATTGATCGTCGCTTATATGAGAGGAGTCATTTTAATTAATCAAGTCTAATAAACATGAAAACTAAAAAGAAACAGAAGAAAAAACGATAAAATCCAATGAAAAAGCAAGCCAGTCAAGGAAAAATATCGCGTCCTATCGATTTTTGGGAGGCGGGGCGAGTACGGTAATTGCAGTGACATTTGCCGCATGCCGCAAGGGAGAATGCAGCGATAGGGGAGAAGTTCCGTTACCCATAAAGAGGTGGCGAAGAAAGCGCGAAATCGGTTAATTCCCAAAAAAGGTCCCAAAAAAGTAATAAAAAAGGGATGTACGAGAACATTAGATGTTTGAATTTCAACAGACCTGCTCAATTGTGAATGGTGCAACTTTATATCAACACCGTCGCATCACGGAAGTTTCTGGGTGTGTACGACGGCCAAGCGATTTAAGAGCCCTTGTTGGGCTCTGTCAAATCACCGCCCGTCAAGACCCACCAATGGTCAATGCTCTTTCCTTGGAAAACCTCAGGTTCATCCTGGAAGGATATCTCAGAAACTGTTTTTATCGGGAACTGAGCTTTAGCTGGTATATAAGTCAGTTTTCTTCTAACTTACGTATCAGTTAACCCCCTAAATAGGTGTAGGAATCGAATACAACGTAATTCATCTCTACGGTCTTAGGATCGCAACACGGTTGGGTCATATCAAAACAACAGGACCAATATCAACACTTCATACTTAATTCTTCAACCATCCATCCCCCCGCTTATTAGGGATATGTCGTATCTCATTTGGGGTTAAATGATTCAGTCGCTATAGTAACGACACGTGAGAATGTATACAAAACAATGAGTTGCGGTTGTCGACTAACCTGCTAGTCAGTACTTTCCTCCTTTTGAACTTGTGACCTGTGAGAAATTTCTAGCTATAGGCTTTTTTGTTCACCAATGAATTTGCATCTTGGGTGGGAGACTTACTTTTTTAGAAAGGCGAAAGCCAAAGTTAAGTCCTCAATGGCAAAGTTCGTCTCTCGCCTCAATGCAAAAGAAATTTGTAAGTTTTTTCGTTCAAAATTGAAAAGAAAGAAAAAATTTAGGACTGGATGTTGTAAACGTATTATCAGATTCGCTTCAATCCCTTCAATGACCACATCACACAACTACTTTGAGTTTCGAACAAAAACTCTTTTACTCAATCTTATCATGTTTCCCATCTGGCTTAAAACATCTTTTTGAGTAACAGATACCTCTCGCTCGCTTTTCCTCATCGGTAGGAGCACCTTCCTGGAAGCGACAGAAGGGCACAAAAATGAAAATTCAGTCTGGCACTCGGCTCTTACAGTAACCTCCCGGCTTACCCCACCTCCCTTCCAGTATCCTCGCCCAAAGCCCCCTTTCGACGCGTCGTATATGTGACAGGTAACAATTTGCGTATTAACACGTACCGGACTACTGTAAGAGCCGAGTGCCGGACTGAATTTTCGTTTCTATGGGATCAGCTACTGAGCAATGTATACGGTAGTTTTACATCTGTTTTTGTTCAAGCGTATTTGCAGCGCAGGTGGCATGAAGTTTTCCAAAATGTCAACGATGTAATCGAAACACAATGGACACTAAAGTCGAATTGAAGACATACCACAATCTTACAAATCCTTTCGGACGCTTACACACACTGTGCTCCTTATTTTCCAAAAGTTTTGGATATGAAAATAACGTATGGCTCGTAATATGACATCTGAGAAGCTACTGATGCACCTTTATTCGCGTAAATTTCCGTGACCACTGTTTTATTCGTGATGAAAAGAACATTTTCTAAGATACAGTAGCGCTCAAAAGTCTTCGGCCAAACGCTCCATCCTGTACTTTTCAGTCGTAACTCCTTTCCTACTGGGTCTAATCATGCGAAATTTCAGTATGTGTAGCATTGGTGTAGTGTGACTATTTACCACTATTAACCTGCAATCTCATCATGTTCCAGAGATCCAAAAGGGCTTGAACAAAAAATCAACTGGAAATACGAATGATGGCCCTTCTAGGGGTCCTTTCCTTTTTGCCATGTCTTACGTGTACGAGCGCTAATGCCGAACCCAGAAGAGAAGAAAAACGTATATAAGGTCCGAATAATTGCAGACGTTACAAACTTTGCTCTTAGGAATTCTGCTACCGCAACAAACACATTCCATTAGTTACGTGGATATGGCTGCTCTGCAGTCAAGTAGTACATAATATGTGGTGTGACTTATGTTACAGATAAACATATCAAAATTTCGCGCGATTTGCTCCACTCGAGAAAAGTTATGAATGAAAAAGCGTAAGAGCGTTTGGCTGAAGACTTTTGAGCGTTTCTATATATCCTTAGGATGAATCTTTGACACTGCGTGTTTCAGCGCACAATCTGACCACTGTAGGTCGGGCTCCGCCGATCTTATCCCAATCTCTTTCATCGCAAACTCAATCGTCCGATTTCGTACAATTTTCCAGGCAATACCTCGTTCTGTAATACACAGAGAATCAGAAGAAGCAAGACGGTAAGCAAAAAGGGGTTGTTTGTTCATTATGCACAGGATTGATTAGAAATGAACTGCAGCAATACGAATGTTCAGATGACCGACCAGAAGCACTCCTACACACTTCATTACTTCGATGTTCGTGGCCGAGGAGAGCCGATTCGTTTGATATTCGCGTACTATGACGTGAAATACGAAGATCATCGAATTGGATTGGATGAATGGCCAGCACTCAAGCCAGGTGTTGCCATCTTCACTGAGTTTTCAAAAAGTATTCAAAACTGCATTAAAACGAAAGGCTCAGCCTTCTTAAACTTTTGTGCCCTTTCTCACTACAACACATTCCTCCATAGGAAAACCGATAAAAGCTAAGGGAAGTAGATCCGCTAGAAGTTACAGTGCCATAGGAGGTGATTCGGCAGAAATGCAGCTAAGTTATGGCAGACTGCCAACTTCTTTTTGACAGTATGAACAAATTTTTTGCGCTTATATCCGGTCAACTGGATTAAAAGCATGCCCCCTTATAAAATTACTACCTGAGTTACAATATGCGAAGGAGCGTTTCATTGGAGAATGAAAGCTTGCTGTAAGAGAGACAGAGAAGAAGCTTAGTTCCAAAGATTCACCACAGCTATGTATGAGTCATCTTATGCTCTATAAATGGATAATAAAAATCTCAAAAGGTAAGCCTTGAGGCGTTAATTTATACCATCTGGGAGATGCTAACGCATTCGACTTGCATTCAGAATCGTAGTTGCGTATTGAATGCGTATGTGGCCTATAGAATTCTCGTGTAAATGCAGCGTGGTTGAAGTGGCGCTCAATGACTGGCGTACTCTGCGACAAGAACATCCCGGAGCGTCCCAAATCCAAGATGTACGGAGCCGTCATCCGGCCGATCGCAATTCACGGCATTGAATGGTGGCCTGCAACCAAAGAGGATGAAGCCCGTCTCAGCGTGATGGAGACCAAAATCCTGCGATAACATATTTACTGTGAACCGAAGTGACACGCTTAGACCGTATAAGTAATGATGCTATCAGGGAGCAATTCGGTGTAGCGCCCATTGTCGATAAAATGCGCGAAGCTCGTCTACAATGGTATGGTCATACTCCTCGCGCAAAGAACGACAGTGTCCGTAAGATCGGTCTCAACCATGACGTGTCCGGAAAGCGGGCTAGAGGATGTCCAAAACAGCGGTGGTTCGATACGTTGCACGAAGATCTTAAAGCGGTTAACATAAACCCCGATCGAGCGTTCAATCGGGAGAAGTGGCGTCAACATATCAGAAAAGCGGACCCCGCCCACAGGCGGGCAAACGCTAAAGAATAAGAAGAAGAAAAGAGGATGTGGCCTATAGAATAACTTGCGGTGGCCAGCCGATGTGCAAGTCGGTGCTTCTGTCCTAATGGTACTGCATGGAACGGATTGTATGTCAATTAAAAAGTGTCAAGTCGGGTTTTAAAAGTACAGTTCACAGCAAATCTGTTATCTAGCTCTGGCGTAATAACGGATATCGTAGTGCAGAATAGGACAACATGTCGAAGAAAGTGGAAAATTGGCGTGAACTTTGAGGAACATAAGGCTCTAGGGCCTTAAAGGCACAGTTCACGATGATTTTGTGTAATCCAGATTATGACGAAAATTGGAAGGGAGGGTAGAAAATAGTGCGATAGAGGCGAAAGAACTGCGTGGATTGGTGTTTCCGAAGTGAGAAAAAGCCTCGAAAAACCGTTAAAAAGGGGACTGGACGAGAATGAGACCAGAAAAATGAAGAGTGGGGCGTTCGGACGAGCTAGACAGTGTGTTTCACTACGCGCGCGTGGGTCCCGGTACGAATAACAGACTACGGTAGACAAAAATTCATTATTTATAAGTATAACTGAACTAAAAAATCTTAGTAACAGCAAAAATAGCTCACCTTTTTCAGCCTCTAGGAATAGGAAATTAAAGAAGGGATCGTGGCGACAAAAAGAATAACAGATGAAAAAAGAATGGGAGAAAAACATCGCCTCTTCACTCAGCGATAAGCTGCTTGGGCGTAGGTCCTAGAACGAATAGCAATCTGTATCATCTCGACACTCGTCTGACGTGACATTGATCGAGGAGCGGGAAAGCCCCGCGAGCCAGCAACAGGGAATCATCGTGAACTGTGCCTTCGAGAAGGCCATCATAAAACGGCCACTTCTGGGTGTGTACGCCGCCTCAAACTGTTTCGGAGCCTTTGTGACGCTCTGTCATTTTTTAAACCGACTATGTGCCACCCACTATCCCTGTAAGCCACAGCTTTTCCAGATGCTGTTTACATCGCGAACTCGTGCCTTTAAAGGCGGAAAGGGACAAGCGTTCCAAAAAAATTGGTTGGTCACCTTTCGAGAAACGTTCCTTTTCAGATGGAGTAAACTCTACACGAAATAACATCGCTTTAAAGGCACCGTTCACAAGAAAGTTAGGGTACCCTTTTTTTGACGGGAATTGATAGAACTACTCTAGAATAAAGCGATAACAACGAAATAAGCGCAAAAAAACGATAAACAAAAAGAACTACAAAGGTCAAAAAAAAGCTAGAAAGTGGGGTTGGACGTGTTCTGCATTGGAAAACGGCGGTTATGGAGTGTTCGGGCGAGAATGTACGAAGGCGACGCAATGTCTGCAATACAAACAACACACCCAAACAGCTGATATTCGAGAATATTCGAGAATAGACAAAGAGAAAATGACGGGTGTCGCTCTCCATCTCTAACAAGAGGTCGCCTTTGCCATCAAGACACACATGATTAGCTCAAGAGGAATTGGGGAACTAAATATTTGAGAATAGAGAAAGAGAGAATGGCGGTTGTCGCTCTCCATCCTCAATCGGAAGTCGCCTTTGCCATCAAGACACCCATTAGATTTGCTTAAGCACCGAAAGTTCCCCTAAATTGAGTGGGAAAGTAGTACCAAGACCATCACCGTACCTTAGGTATAGTGAACCGGAGCAAAGATGCAGTCATTTCTCTTTTACTGTGGGAAGGAAATCAAGTTGCCAGATTTTCTCTCTCGGATATACTAAGGAAGGAATAGTAAGGGTGGTTGAATTAGTTTCCCCCTGTTTTCAAGGGAGGCGAGGGACTACTCTTCGCAAACAGTAGCAACCTCCACACTTACCAATCAGTAGTTGCACTTCCGTTATTCTGAATCTCGGCGACTCAGTGCTGAGTAGAAGCATCCTAAGTCCGGAGATCAGCAAATTCCCCCTACAGAACGAGTTTTTTTGACTCCTCCCGAAGCCTACTAATACAAACAAGCAGTTATCATTGTAGTATTTTTACCACTGTAGTATTCGTGCAATGTTTGTTTCAATATTTTTTCTTTGTTTTTTCACGACGACTCAGAAAATGTAAAGGCCATCGATTTTTGAATGTTCCATAATTTTGGAACGAACGAAAGCGAGATTGCAGTTCAAACAGATCCCTCATTTAATTCATTTTCGACCGTAAACTTCTTCTCTTAGATGCTCCAACGGGACTAGTGCCATATTTGGTGATGGATGACGGCAAACTAGAGTTGGCACAGACCCTGGCTATCTGCAGATATCTGGCTAAGTCAATACGTCCAACTGATTGTGAGTGAAATGTGGCTGTTCTTATTGTCGAACTTTTGCTTCGAAAATTTAAAAGAGCTTACGATTTATTGATGGCAACGAAACTATTGCGTATGAGCCGTGGTAGGCTGCTTTCGTGGTCCACGATTTGGCGAGCGACCAGTCGCGCGATCGGTCGCGGTTCCTTTTTTCTGCTTGGTGTCAATATCTTCTCTACTCATTCCGTCTGAGACTATTTCACCCAAGCCCAAAAGTGTCGTAGCTCGGAACTTAGCACTATCCTACCTCTACCGAACCTTAATCAGGTGCTTTTCCCACATATAGAAAATCCGCAAGTTTCGTTACGGACGCGGCGTTATGCAAACATGAGCGAATTTTCTAGAACTTCCCATGCCATGTTCATTCTTTTGCCTGTGTGGCTTTCCAGCAACATACAGAGAACAGAAGCAGTGAGGTGTCGTATAACGACAATTCAACAGAAAGTGAGATCGATGCTACGTGGATTGGCAATACTCCGGCTACATTGTTGGTACGCTGATTCCGTCCACCGTTGTCACGTCCGTCCAAAGTCTCCAAGCTTCAGCTCTCCCATTACTACTCAAGCCACCCATTCCATTGCACCCTCTCATTGTCTGTCCTATCCTTCTACGTATATAGACTGCTAACGTGTAGAACTCAGTAGGCCAAAGATTATCAGCACTTTCATCCTTGTACTACCACTCTGACGGCGACAGCAACGATGCCAGAAAGGAGCAACTGGAAGGGTGCATGCAACGAACGGGAGCTACTGGTCGAAAGGTTTCAATGATCAAGAAAGCAACTCATCTTTACCATTGATAGCTTCTCCTCTCTATTCGCAGCAACGTATTAGCTTAGAGTTCGTGGAAAATCAGTTCCTCTATTTACATGATCATCAGTTCCTCCACCTTCGGATGCATAGTATATGAAAAATGTATTCGTACATGCATATGGATACAACTCCTTGAAGGCACAGATCTAAAGTCGTCATTCTTTCACACCTAGACTTTGCTGGCGCAACAAAAACGGAGTCGGCCAAGTGTGACATGTACGCTGAATCATTTATGGATCTGTTTACAATCGGTGTCGAGCGGCAATATGAGAAAGACGAAGTTATCAAGGTTCTGGAAATTTCACACTTCGAGCGAAGTTCACGATTCATTTAGATGTTTAGGAGAAAAAAGATGCGGCCTTCGAGAAGCAATATCCTGAGCGTATGAAAGTACTGGAAGATCACTTGAAAAAGAACGGAGGGCACCACTTCGTCGGGAAAAAGGTTAGTTTATCCGCTTTTAAACCGCATAGCGAATGTCCTTTTCAAAGTCCATGAAAACGCATTTTGCTGCACTTCCCGACTACGGGCAATGAATACAATGGCGAGTCTCTGAGAGCTTCTCCAGCAGGATCATTGTCGCATCATTTCAGGTCTTATGGTGCGACCTTGTGGCGTTGTGCGTGCTGTCGATGATGGAGGAACTGAAACCTGACCTCCTACAAGAGTTTCCAGACATGCAAACTTACTACACGAACATGCGCAATTTACCTGAAATCAAGGAATACATTGAAACAGCGTGGCCACCAGCCACTTCAGTCACATCGGAATAAGGAATAGCATGTGGATAGACGTCAGCTACTGACCTACGAATGGAACTAGGATTACTGTCTGGCCTCAGTAATATTAAAGCATTGTTGTAATTAGTTTGCCATGGTCAACCTAGTTGGTAGACGTTCGAATATTCGATAGCCTATGACCCATACTATGGGTCATTGTTAATTCTTGTGCCGTCTACAATGTGATTCCCATTTTGCTTACTTTCGTATCCTTGGAGGAACATCTCTTACAGTTTAGGCATCGCTTTGGGCCACTAGATTGGCTTTGTTTTTCTTTACGTTCCTGCATTAGTAAACATCGATGTTACGTTTGTGTAATTGTAAATTTGCAAAATTTATCACTCTTTTTGCTGGCTGGTTGCAATCATGAAAAATTGTTTCACCAAAAAACTTTCTCGAAACGAATCGGACCAGGTACCTCTATGCTCACCCCTCTTTCTCCAAACAGGGCTTGCAGCTTGACAACAGGATTTATTGTGAAGCTAATGGTTCCGAAGCTCTCATATGTTTCGAAACTTATTCGCTAATCAAGAAGCTTCTCTGTTCATCGCCAGGACTGTTCCTAGGGGTTTCTGAATGTTTTAACCTTTCTTTTTTTCCTTTTTGGGTGGCCACACACAAATGATCTTTCTTCTTTCATGTGCCCTCTTTGAGTGATCCTTCACACTTCCACTACTCGATCGACTCCTTTACAGCTTCCTGCACCTTCAGTGCCTAGTTAAAACAAGGTACTTGTGGAGCTTCATATGTGCAACGTGGTTGGGTGGCTTTCAAGTCGGCACCAGCGCGATTCCCACGTAAGAAGTGAAAAAATCTCACTAAATGTAGGGAATAAGTTTTAAACAACACATGCCCAAGTGGGATTAAACTTCACACACACACACACCATCGGGACCCTGCTTGTTCTCAATTTCATGACGTAGACAAGTGGTGAACAGATAGCGTAAGGGATAGAAAGCACGGTGCCTTGAATACACAAGTGTGCGAGCTCGAGATCCGTCCGAGGCCGAAGTTTTGCGGGCGTGGCGCAGTAGGAACGAAATTGTCGCGTTGCGGCGAGAGAGACGCCGCGCGCGAAGGAATGTAGCAGAATGCAGCAGTAAGTAAGTAATTCAGGAAAAAAAGAACTAACAGTAAAATCGTGCCATAAGCAATAATCGCATGGCGATAGAGCTGTAAGTAGAACGCTAGAACTGTTATAACGAGGCAAATGGTTCGCGACAGCCGCGTGGGGCCGATCGATTACACAAAACCATTCCTACTGCCCGTCTCCCAAGTTTTGCCCATGACTCGAATACCTTGTTAGATTTTCGATTAGCATTACTGGGCGATTTAACAGCGACCAACGAAATACAAGTCAGAAGACAGCTTCTTTTTTGTTGTGAAGAGTTAGCTTCGTCCAATCTCCAACGAATCAGCGTGGAGAGAGCCCATTTATCGGTGAGGCCCTCCTTCAATTTCTATTTCCTGTGAAAAATTACAGTACTCAGCAGCAAATACTTGATTCATTGTAATAAGATTTATTATCGAGAACACCATAAGCTTTGAGAAGTAAAACCTGACAAAATTGGCAAGAATTCTCGCATTCGATATGCGATTGGTCACCCGCTTGTGAGTATCAAATATATCTATGCTCGCTTCGACTCGGATACCGAGTCTTGGACCATTTTCGCGAAAGCTGAATCACGGTCCTCCAACAAGGTTTGAGGAGAATCGAATTCGATTATACGACCATTCTCCAACACCATAACCCTGCAACACTTCGGTTTAGAAACAACTTCACAATCAATTATGAAATAAGCCGCAGAGTAAGACATAAATGATAACTACCGTAAAATTTTCTCAGAGGATTTCCCCCTGAGGCGATTCCTCGAAAGAGAAAAACCCAACCGAATAAGCACCTATGGTCACCTTCGCATAGGGAGCAGGGGGAAAAGGACCATAAAAACTGAGCAGATAGACAGGCAGGTAGACAGATTGAGCAACTTTGTTTATAAAAGAGTGATCATCGACTTAGGGTGCTGATGGTGCCATCAGGTAATTCTAATCCAATCAGTTTCCCCAATCATTACACCAATTATATAAACAAGAAGTATTTAGGACCTGTCGTATTCCATGATAGTGTTAAGGCGATGAGCTATTGTGAAGACAGTGCTCTGCGTGAACTCCTGACGAATGGTCGTCTGAAAACTTGTAGTTGATTCAGTAAAAGAGCCTGCTCGGCGAGATTCATGCTCAACTTACTTGTATCAAAGAATCAGTTGTGACATCGACAGCAGCAGTTGCTTCATCAAGGACAAGTACCCGGGCATTTCGTAGTACTGCACGTGCCAGACATACTAGTTGCCGTTGTCCAACACTGGGAATAAGCGTGATCAGAAAAAAGTTTGCATGCTTTGCAGTGTGATGAAGGGCGTTGAGAGGAACACCGAGTTCATAAGATCAAGGGCCCTTCCTAGGTAGGGAGCAAATTAGGAAAGGTTACCTGATGTTTTCGCCTCCTTCGCTGATCTCGTAATCAAGCGCTCCATGTAGGCTAGAGATGAAGGGCTTCAGATGAGCCACTTCTAAAGCTTTCCATATTTCAAAATCCGAGTTCCTTCTGAATGGATCCAAATTGAATCGTAGAGTGCCGGAGAACAGCACGGGATCCTGAACACATATGAGCATGCTCAGTATCCTTATGATCGTTCATACAAAGCTTTGTTTTTTCAAGAGAAAAGTACTATTCCAAGCTTGCTGATCATCGCTCCCGTTTCGCATCGTGAACACAGTATCCTCTCCAATTCGTTTATGGTAAAAATAATGTGGCAACTTTTTTGTAGAAGGAGAAGCGAAAAAACCTGGGGCAGTACATCAGTAGATATGAAGGACTACGATTAACTTCAGAGAGGATTGTGGAATCCAAGTTAATGACGTATTACAGGTTACATGAAAGAGAATATGGGAAATAGGGGCTGGCGCAGCTCCGAAAATTTATTCCCTCTGCTTAGCGCACCGATTTATTATCTAAACACTTTCTTTCGTCCAGCCGAATCTACCAGAAACGGTCTGTGATAAATAACAAGCTGACCTGAGGAATAATTGTAATATTGCTGCGTAAGTCATGAAGGCCAATTTTCGAGATATCGACACCATCAATGACAATTTTGCCAGAAGAGGGTTCGATCAGGCGGAAGAGAGCGAGGGCGAAAGAACTTTTTCCTGGAAAAACACATCGTCAGAGCTACTTCGAACAGCGGTTAGCCTAGAACGAGAGGTCATTTTAGTCACCTGCTCCTGTACGGCCAACGATTCCTATCTTTTCTCCTTCGTTTACATCAGCTGAAATTCCTTTAAGAACAAGATCGAGCCCTTCACGATACCTGATGGCAAGAAATTGCTTAAATTTTTGTTGAACTCAAAGCCGTCAAAAAATGGAAAAAGAAGAGAAGGGACAAGAAATGAATGATAAACGAATCAGTTGCGACAAACACAGCTTTGAAATGAATCTCGTCGAAATCGTCACCCACTTTTAAGGGACAGTTCACCATAATTTTGAAGTACCCGTTTTGATTCGGAAAGCGGAAGTATGGGTTGGAAATAGTTCATTGGAAGTGAAGAAAGAGAGAGAATCCGTCGATTCGAGAATAATATGGCTCCTCAAAGGTAGGGAGAACAGAGGTTAGACGAGATTACTATGACGGAAAGAAAATGGAAGGGGTATTCAGACGAGATTTTAGTTGTTGCAATCGCGCAAAGAGCTAACTACATCAAGCCAGAACTGTCAGAATTGCCTTCCCCTATCGTTATGGGCCATGACAATGTATGAGTTTCTTACATGGGTTTCCTTGCGACTGGCGCAGCGTCTACAATGCAGGTGAAACTCGTACGAGGATACACACGGCGCAATCTTTGAGCCTTTTTAACGCCCTAACTAGGCCGTTTTTCAAACTAGTAGAGCCCGCCAGATATAGTATATGAGGGGACTTCGAGTGCATCCTATGGGTGAATCTCAGAGACCATTTTTATCATGACCTTTAAACTTGGGAAAATAAATTATCTCAGAAATCATTTTAACCAGTTTCGTTTGTTTACATATCATTCGTTTTTAGCCGAAAGGTAAACAAAATTCTGATTCAGGATGCATACCTGGTCGAATAGTCAACAAAATTAACACCGCCGAGCCATGGCCAGCCAGGTTCCGGCTTCCTCTCCGGGATTTCCCAAGGTGCCTACAATACGTTCCTTAACGGCAACTCCGTTCCTTAATGCCACCAAGATGTATCAAGAAGGAGATACATACTTCGGTTGGCGTATTGGTGTACTCATCGATTCTTTCAACAGCAACAATGTTCGCTTCAATCTCACTTATTTGACGAATGGCAAAATTGAGTACTTCAGTTATCTGGAATTAGTCAAATCTCGTAAACGCCTCTTTTCATCCTTGAGGATATATTCAAACGTACATTCAAAGCGTAGGAGATCGAGACACCAATAATACCAGGACTAGTTACCCAGCCAAGCTCTTTGGAAATAACAGCAAAAAGGGCAGCGAAGAAAATCTGAAAGCAGACGACACCAATAGTCAGCAGATGCACCATAACACTCAACAGACTTACCACCAAGTTACCAATGAACTCCAGACGTATTGCAAGCCAACGATTTGCTACAATATTAGAGTACTTGCATCTGATGAATGCGTCGACAATAGCACCAGAAGCGGATCGGAACTGCTCCACCTGCCAAAACAATGCACTCTTGTCCATTTTCCGACCAACGATGCGTAATAGGTGGTCATGATAGAGTGAAATTGTCAGTCCCCGAGGATAAAAGAATGAGGATAGAGAATCTTTCGGAATCGGTCGTTCCGAGTGGACGCCTTTAACTCTCATTTAGAATCGTAGTGGTATACCATGACAAGTCGTTCCAGGACACACTATCTTCTTTGTCGCGTATGTTTACGGCAGTCCAAGATGTGAAGTCTCACAACTCACGACTTAGAAAGGATTATGCGGCAGGTTTGGGCTACAGCAAGAATTAGCTTTGGGCCGGTTCCCCTTTCTAGAACGATGGATCCATAACAAACAGACTCATGATTGGACCACTAAAAGCATTCTTTACGTTGTAAAATCTCTGATAGTGGAGAGTAGAGAAGAACTCTAGCACAAACTACAGAAAAGCATGTAGTGTTGGAATTTTTGATTTCAACTATGTCAACCTTGGCGCCCGCTCAGAGACGGTCACGCTAATAATTTCTACAACGTGGAAACAACAATGCTTCGCAACAATTCTTGTTTAAAGAGTCCATTTCTTATGTGGGTGTTGCCACTGTAGCTACCGCTAGCGTTGCTTGACAGTGGATTAATGTGCATGGCGTTATATTCAGCTGTCACTTATAAAGGTTCATGCGAATGAATGCTTCCTATTTCTTTTTGGTGAAGTGGAACTGTCAAACAATAAAGACAATAAAGCTGGAAGTATCATTCATAAGCTTTCGGTTTTCGTCCTGCCTCCATTTACTGTCGCTGAACTACAATATTTGTTCCCTCTAAGCTGATTTTGAAGAACTCACATTCTTCGTGATACTCCATCTACTGAATCAGTGGAAGAGATGAAGAATAGCACAGAAAAGTTCTAACAATTACCTTCTTGAAGGCTCGAATAGAAGCGGCACCTTGAATGGTTTCTCCAAACTGAGAGTAAATCGGGGAGCGATGAGTGCTTTCGAGGCGTTTGAGCTGGCGAGAAGTTGGGACGTAGAACCGCTGAAGCGACCATGGAATAATGTGATTTCAGTAGTTCAAAATCGAAGAAACGAAAAACGACATTACTCACCAGAAAGAAGAAATATATGACCATGAGTGGTACAATCACGACTGCAAATATAGGAGTAGAGATTACAATAACTATTAGTGTGACGAGAACCTGAAGAAACACATCAGGTAGAGGCAAATTTCAACCAGCAAATGAGCAATTTTTCGAACACAACTCCATTGAGGGATAATAGAAGGAATGGTAACTTTGCTGTAATTCTAATGGGAAATTTGCGCGTTTTGCTTATCAGGATGCCACAGCCCACAGCTCGCAGTCCCGAGACCATTAGCGGACCGCTCAATTCCGCAAATCCGCCTTTTTCCAATCGTGGAAAAGATCCCAATGGCACAGTTCATGATACTTTTGAGCCACCCGGTTTAGACGAGTAAGGGAAGTAATAGTCCAGTACAGTGCAAAGGTGGCGAAGAAAACGCGAAAATCACCGGATCAAATGTATGGAGAAACGTAAGGTTCAAAAAATTGTGTGATAATGGACTGGACGATAATGTGAAGACAAATGTGGCATGGGAGGGATATATGGACGAGCTGTCCCAATTAGCGCGCCGTTGTGTATATCTTGCCACAATGACTGCCCCTGTGCGATCCGGTACTTGATGCAATCTTTACAGCCCTTACAACGCCATAGGAACTCGTACACCTTTGGGCGTGAACGTCGGCAAAGCCGGTTTTAGACCTGTATTACCCTCTACCCAAGGGGTCTTTAACCCGGCAGCGGCCCTTAATTGAGCTTGGGGGTCAAATATCTAGAGAGGAATAATAGAAACTGCACTTATCGTGAGTTGTGCCTTTTTATCTCTCGTAGAACGAGTGATAAACGACATACATAGAATGGCAAATATATCGTGCGCCAGCACGGATAAATAGGAGAAAAACAAATTATTTCTAGCCTCAGAACGTCGTTCAACTGAATGGAACGTTGGGCATAAATTAATGATGACAGAATTCTAGTTCGATAAAGCAGCAATAATCTTTTGCTAATCTAGTCTGAAATTTTTCTATCGGAATCACTTCTTTCCAAGCTATTGATTTGAGGATTTACTCGACTCTTTTAATTCAACTCCATCTATTGTACAGACTGGAGCTCCTCGGAGTATGACATGCATCCTATTCAAGGTTACGAACGCTTTTTGAAGGCTTTTAAGAATTACCTGTAGTATACACATGGCAAGGTAGCGTAAGTTCGTAGGAAGTAACATGTCGACCACTTCAATATCCTTAATAAAAAAACCATTTTGCAAAAATTCTCATATCACCAGATACCGAAATCCAAAACCAACACATCCACTAAAAAAATACTCAGATGTCAAATGAGACGATTTCTTGGCCGCACCAGAAGAGTCTTGAAAAGTCCATTTCCGACCAAAAAACCTCCATCGGTATCCTCAGCCCCAGTTGAACGCACATATGGCAACCTCTCCCAGCTGCTGATTTATTAACTGACCGTGTCCTGCATTTCACTCGCTCACCGCACACTTATGATGTGCCTTAGACTCAAAAAGCGGGAATATGGACGAATGAACATTTAGTAAAATTCGCAGTTTTCAAAAATTATCTGCGAAATGACGGCCAGATTTCTTCGCCCTTATCCTCATTGACTAACCATTTTTCCCTAGAGACCCACATAAGTATCTCTTTTCACGGAACGTGACTTTCGGCGGTGTTCAGAAAAAACTCACCTTTGCGCAACGATTGAGAATTCTTCCTAAGGGCGTTGTGTCGAAAAATGACATAGGAGATCGTAGCAGATTGTGAAGCAATGGGGAATGAAGGTTGTAGGATGCAGAAAGCCCAGCGAATGCAAGAAACACTAATGAAGACAAGAAGCTGAGCGCTGAAATGTAATGTGCTAATACTTACTGTATTACCAGATAAGAATATGCTCCTGGATCAGTCCAGGTAAAAGCTGAACGATTTCTTGATGTCGGACTTTTCGGGAGAGCTACTTCCCCTCAAAAAAATGGTTTTCAATTTATCAAACTTACATTCCACAGTTCCTAAAGTCCCATAGATGCCCAGACGCCAACCTGTCGCCATTTTTCGTTCATGTTGCCCGTCATAGTCATCTGACCTGAAGCGGGACGTTGATGTACCCTGTTCTAGAATGAATCAGTACTGATTTTGAGCATCTGACCAGGCTGACAGCCAGAAACTGCGCAACGTCTGGAACAATTGGAAAGCAGCAAGAAAGAAGAAGAACAGAAAACATTTCCAGTACGTTCCTGCTTTCATGTAAAGCCGATATACAGAAAGTTTCACCTGAAAGACATTTTACGAATTAGTAAAACCGACAATCGAATAGTCATAAACTCTTAAAAGCTCTTATGGCTGACTTGTCCTGTCTCAACCCCTTCCTTCTTGATCAGTTCACCCTTGCCGGATTTCATTGTAAAGGGTGAGGTAGTAGCGGATTTGCTCCTTAACAATATGACATGACAGCATCTGGGAAAGTTATGGTAGGATCTAAATGTGAAAGAAAAGACAAACTCACGTTTTTCTCCCACTATCCGAAAGATCGTCAGAAATATCCACATCTGTAAAACTTCAGCATCCTCACTGAGCAGAATCACCGTTGGATGCTTTCACATTCACCGACGTGCATTGTTTCCACCGACCGACCGATCAACCGGCGTCGCTGGCCACGTATTCACAACACTGGACACCGGTGCATCACCCCGCCCTGAACGCAACCCGTCCTGCTTTGTCAGCATGTGGCCAAAAACACCATCGGTTGTCCCGTCAATCTGTCGGTCGGCCTTCGGCAGGTGGAAATAATGCCCGTCAGTGGAGGCTGAAAGCACCCATTAATGGAGTGGACTACACATAACCAACCGTCTGTGCTCTTCTCTATATCGATGCTGGCGGAGTCGCCTACACTCCCATTATCGTCGTTCTCGTCACTTTCGGAACTTGACTTATATTCTTCAACAAACTTGTAGAATGCACCTCGTTGTTTCATAAGTTCATCATACCGACCATTTTCGATGATTCCGCCATCTGAACTGAAGCGATTGTGCTTTTGTAGGAGGAATGCTCGCTAGAAGGATATTAGGAACCTCGCAAAACCAGAATTTCATCTGCGATCTTGATATAGGATAGCCTATGGGTGACTAGAATCCTCGTTTTGTTTCGCAGAAGTCCATCCGGGCCCAGCACCTAGGTATACCAGTATTTCACTACACACTTTCGCCCAGCATACCATACAAAGCCGAGTGAGCGATAAGAAATGATAGTTTAGAGTGTCCTTGTTTTATACCTTTTCGAATATGTGCCTTCCAACATGGGCGTCTACGGCAGACAGCGGATCATCAAGCAAATATATGTCGCTGTCTTGGTAAACCGCCCTTGCCAACGACACTCGAGCTTTCTGTCCGCCGGAGAGATTAATGCCCTGAGAGCGAATGTTAACAGAAAAGTCTCTCAATTAAAAGTACGACTACTGACCTTTTCTCCGATCTCGGTCAAATCTCCATTTGCAAGAACCTTCAGATCAGGTTTCAAAGCGCAGGCGGACAACACCTATATGATCGAAGTCATGAGAAAGATATCTAACAGCAGAATAACCCTTGATACTTACTTGATTGTATTTGCGCTTATCAAACGGTTTCCCAAAAAGGATATTGTCACGAACTGTCATATTTTGAATCCAGGGTTGTTGTGGCACGTAAGCCACTTTTCCGCGGAGACCTATCTTTCCTTGTAACTTTCCCATCTCTCCTTAAAAATACTAAAACGTGAAGGCCCAAAAATAAAGACTGTTTAAAAATTGCCGTCAAATGACATGCTAACCTAGAAGTGCAGAGAGAAGACTAGATTTTCCTGCGCCAACCTGCCCCACAAGAGCTATGAAGGAACCTCTTTCGGCACTAAGATTGATATTCTGTAAATGATTAAATTGCTTCAAAAACAAGAGACCGCGAACGAACACAGAAAACCAACCTCAAGGGTGTTGGCGGTCTTGTGCGATCCAGTTCCGTCAGTCCAAGTTGCCGAGAAGTCTTTGAACTCAACGGCACTTTCACCTAAACAGTTGGTGACAACCAAATTTTGGGAAAATAAGGGCAAAACCAGTGATAGTGCTTAGGAGTTCGTACCTACGCTCCTTTCAAATTTAAATATAAAATTATCGGCGCGAGGATGAAATCTTTCCTCAAATCGCTGTGAAATCAAAGCTGTGTAGTTAAACCCAGTGCAATAATGCGAATTTCCGGATTCTCTGGCACTTATGTACTTGAAAAGTTCTACTAGACATTCGGAAGCGTAAGGGTTATACATCTCAACCAACCTATTAGAATGGCCGAAAGCAAACAAACAAAAGTTGGTTTTATAGTCCATCCAGAGAGGAAAAGCCGAATGTCAGGCGAAATGGTCGCCGTCGATATAATGGTGACTCAGAGAGCTTAACTCGACTAGAGCACTAGATCTCTCCGATCTTCTAGAGAAATCACGAAAACGGCAAAACTGTTATGCTCGATAAAGGATCAAGTCTACAGGATAAAGCCTTGGGGCGTTAAACAATCCCGTCAGAGGGATGCGCCGACGCATACGACTTTCATTCAGAATCGTGGTAGCGTATTGAATGCGTATGTGGCCTACAAAATGACTTACGGTGTCTAGCCGATGTACAAGTCAGGGCTTTTATCTTCCCAGACGAGTCTGGCCCCAATTTACCGGCCGAGGGGATGGAAGGCCTGGTTGGCCTAGGCGCATATAGATTCGGGACTCGTACCCGAGACCATGCGTGAGTGAAGTGCGCCACTTGCGACTACACCACATACATTGACTAATTGCATGAATGGCAGTACTCTCGCCGTAATCATATGGAAGGCCTACCATTACGTTGTTCTCTATCTACCACGCTAGGATCGAGCTCTTCAGCCACAAGATACTCCTTGAGTCTCCGGTTCGAAACAAGCACCTGTAATGGATGTCTCATAGATCATACTAGCCAAACAGAAGTTGATACATTTCAGAAGACTAATATGATGAGCTACCTGTACGATTTGACTAATAAGCAGTGCGATCATGGTCATTGGAGAACGAAGTTGATTGAACAAAGTTAGAGATACAAAAGCAATCTGAATTTATGGCTACAATTTGTGTAGTTGAGCTACAGTTAGTAATAGAAAGCACCTGTGGAGTGAGCTCATGTGATGACGATGACAACACATACGTGCCAAAAGAGAATAGGGCAACCTGGAAATAAAAATTATTGTTAGCCAACCTCTTTGTGTTTAGGTTTCGTGGTAAATGACACGCGTTTGTCTCTCAATCATCGGCTAGTATCGGCGCAGCAAACAGTACTTCACCCTAGGTTTGAGTTTTGAAGTTCCTTGTCGTAGAGGTGCAGCACTTTGTTTTCATAATCGAAAGCAAATTGATGTAAACGTTAGTCAAGCACAAAGTAGGTAGTCAAAAAAGGCCGGCCTGGACTGTGGGCATAATTTTCAATGCCACCCAACCGCTTCGCTCTAAACGTTATGCTTATCCCACTATAACACCAGACATCTTCCCGCAACTGTCAGTGGTAGGTTTACTCATGAAGATACTGAACTCAGCGTCGCAATTGTGGTATCACCATTTAATTAGATATCACCACAAAAAGTATCCGGAGAGATCGTGCCATGTTTGGATGGCTGAGGAAAGAACAACAGATCAGAAGTAAGCTCACTGGAGCTGGGTGGCAGGATATGCACCCGAATGAGTGGTGACGAGGGAACTACCATTCAATTTGATTTCAAAACAAGCCATACAACGGGAAAAACTGGCAAAGGTGAAATGTGGCCGACAAATGAGACAAAAGAGTCCAAAGCTGTGAAGGGCGGGACGTCTCATAAGGGTCGGTATGAACTGCATAAATCTATATCTCGATTCCATAAATCCAGGAGCCAGAAGAAAAACTGTAGAAATGAGAAAGGTCTTTAATCCCCAAACCAATCGAAACTCTGCTGACGGTGGACTTTTCAGAGGGGGAGGGGTCACAAAAAAGTTCTACAAAAATTCAAGAAGTAGGATCAAATGTTTATAGTAGGAGTCGTGCGCAGATGTGGACGGAGCTAGGATCGAAAATGAATAGCTCTGCCTTGTATCGTCTTTCGTGGTCACGCAGGCTTTAGCCTCCTTTACCGGCATAATGGAAAACAACAATGCAAGTTCGAGTAGCTTCTAGGTCAAACAGTGCGACCTTCACTTGGCACCTCTGCGCTAATATTAAAAGGATGGTTGCGACAAAAAGCGTCAAAAGAGAAAAAACAATCGGAATAAAGAAAGCTGCACTAAAAACTAGAAAACTGTTCATCCACAGCTCAGACATAATAATAAATGCGCCTTACACGAAACTAACTTTTGAAACCAAGCAAGTGTGGCCTCTCTTACCAGAAACGGACTGGCGGTGTTGAAGGAATCCATGACGTTTCTGACGAGAAATGATTTTCGTAATAACACCAATTCTTTTTGCCTTATTTCATCAATGTGCTGCTCCATCGGTATTTCCCATGCATACAACTTTACCACCTGGAATCATATTACAATACTACCAGCTACTCAATCACAGGTGAATGTAGAAGGTCCTAACCTTGATCCCGTTGAGGACTTCGTTCACCATCTTGGTTCTCTGATCTTTGAGTTTCATCTGTTCGACCTAAGGAATGGTTCGCTATCAGAAGCTCTGGGGCAAAGGAAAAAGAAGTTTACTTACCTGCCATTTTTTAACAATTATAGAACAAATTATGTTTGATGGAAGAGCAATTGTCATTAATATGAATCCTGGAGCAGCGGAATAACCAAGTGTTGAATACAAGTATATTAATGCTAGTGTAATCTGTAAGATCAGGTGTGAAGGCATAACCTCAGAAAGCATATAAGCAAGGGAATGAGTAATGCATTATGAATACCTGATACGGACAGCTCCAAAACTGTTGGATTTGAGGAGTAATCATTTGAAATCTTTCGATATCAATAGCCATTAAGTTAACAATCTCTCCAACTGTTTTGTCTCTACGAGCAGAATTGGATAATTCTAATGACTGAAAAATATAGGATTCGAAAATCTGATAATGAAAGGAGAACACAACGCGAGACTGACGCGCACAGGCTAATTATAACTAACCTTTTTGTAGACCGCAGCAGTCAGAGCGGTTTGGAATTTTATTCCCATGCGAAACATTATGTAAAAATATGAATTTAAAACAAATGAGCGCACCTAAATATTAGACTAAATTGAAAGGGCTCCCACGATTTGAAAGAATCAAACGAAAGTTTACCTCGGACGCAGCGAACATTAGTATTGCGTAGGAAAGACCTAGCCAAAGGGGTGAGTTCATATCGGAAACGAAGCCGATGAGCTGGCTGAAATATGATAACGAAAAGCTCTCGGAATTTGAAACGCCCTTGGTTCAGGCATGATAGAAACTTTTATACGCGATGTAGGCTATAGTGAGATACTGTATGACTTACTGTAACAAAAATGGGTTCGCAAACTGTAACGTATCGCTAGTAATCTTGAGAACAGAGGCAGAGAGAAATTCCCAACGAAACATCATGAAGAGGCATTTGACCACTGAGGGCAAGCTCGGCCTCTTTCCTTTTCTGAAAAGCACCCAGATAATGATGGCACCTCTAATAATGTGCCGCAAAAGTAACTTGCCCGGAATCTTCCCAGATCTTCATTTTGCTGTGGTAATCTGAATCAAATAGCTCAACAAAAATTTTGAACCCCATTTATACCCTCAACGAAATTACCTGTTATTCGATGGTGCCAGTGTCTCTCCCATAGTTCACTAAGGTATTTCGTAGTACTCCCCTCGTTTAATTCAAAAAGGTCTTCAGGCTGAAAAATATCAAAAATAGACACACGGTAACAGCTTTCTCTGTTCGGATGCTTCTGCTATTTACCTCAAGATCTTTACGGGCACCTCTCCAAGGGACTGGGTTAAACCACCACAAGGTGAGGCGATTGAGAAAAGAGCTATTCAATNTATATTAAATAAAGACACACGGTAACAGCTTTTTCTGAACGTGTTCTTCTGTTCGGTTGCTCCTGCTATTTACCTCAAGATCTTTACGGGCACCTCTCCAAGGGACTGGGTTAAACCACCACAAGGTGAGGCGATTGAGAAAAGAGCTATTCAATTCTGCGGATCCTTGCTGAAATACGTTAGCTGAGAAAATATAACTATCACTGAAACAACCTGGCTGGTAGAAAAAAAACCCACTGTCTTCTCCGTTGGCTCACGCGGATCAGCAAAGCACATGGCAAAAACATAAACTATTAGAGCGGAGTAATATACTAGGTAAGCAATACACAAGGCAGACGACAAATAGGATGGATCCTGAAATGGTATGAAGTGCCTTTCAGAAATTTCCGGTAGCAGGAGAGGGAGCCAGCCTGGTGAGCAGTCACAGCCGAAATTCTACTCTCTATTCACGGAACTATAGGTTAAATCCTTTTTCAAAAACATGATTTTTCAGTGAAGTAGATTTCACTTCGATCAATAATTGCTCAAATTCGAATTTTTAGGGCTTACTATCCTGATAGATGGAAAGGGAAAGAAAAAAGATCCTCTTCCCGTTGTTTGCAAGGACCATCCCACCCTATTCCTGCATCACATTTTTGTGGTTATGATCAACTCGGTGTTAGGTGTTTCGACACCAAACAACCCATGTGCTACTTTGTTGAGTTCAAACCCACTTCCCTCCCATTTCTCCTTTCCCGTTTCCCGCACTACGATATAACTCGCTCCCATTTCGTCTTCCATGGAACATTCCAATCGTATTAAAGTTGACTCCTCAGTACATGAGCGCGTTCTTCACAGAAAGAGGAAAAAAGAAGTTAACGTTGAATCTCGACTTGATGGGTACATTTTGATGGGTACTTGACAGGTACATGTTGCTAGAATACCTCAGCCATCGTTTTCAAGGATATGGAACAAGAAGTTGCCGCAATAAGAACATATCGAGGAAATATGAGGAAAGACGATTCGTCGAAGTCTCTGGTGAACCAGAAGTGATTAGGCTTGGGATATCAACAAGGAGAGTTCCAGTTGATTGGTCATATTAACACAGGTACAGCAGGCTGGACAACGCATTTGTGAAAAGAAAATGTAGCCACGTAGCCCTTTACGGACATTCAATATCACTTTTTTGCGAGACAAATTGTCTTTGAGCTTGCATATTGTAGAGTCGATAAAGCTTATTTACACCACTGTGTGTAGGAAGATGTCTGAGTAAAAAAATGAGTTCAGAAAAGGAATGGTTAAATTATATCTTTTCTATTCACGAAATATGCATGCCATACGCATGTATAAGAAAACAATAATAAACATGAAACAAATAAAACTATATAAACTTAGAAATTCTAGAAAGAATCTACGGGAAGCAACGACATCTAGTCTTGAAAAAAGGCAAAGAAGCTAGGGAACGTCACCAGAAAGGGATAGAACAAGTGTTTTTCATTACGAGTAAGTGAGCATTACAACTAACCTCATGGCCTTGCCTAACATTTTGATAAAATTGTGGACCACCACATACGGCAAACACAACAGCTGAGAGATGAACGATTCCTGAGGTTACCATACCTGATTCTTTTCGTAAGTAGTGAGTGAAAGTCATGCATCCCTGAAAAAGCACTGTACATCCTGCTCGAGAAACTCTGCAACATTTGTGGAGAGCGGATACTGTATAAAAGGTACTTACGAAAGTTACACTAAGAAGAGCTGGGTACAGTATATCCGAAGCTGGAAACGAAGCGCTCGAGAAGACTGTATAGGACGTAATAAATAGACATACCAAGGTAATGAAGGTCGTGATAGTCTGGAAAAAGAATTGGTGAAATTCGAAACATACACAGAATATTCTTAGCAGTAGAACTTTAAGTAAAAAACTAACAATTTTGAGATACAAGTGTAGACTCCAAGGTAAGCATCTGTACCTACGCCCATTCAACGATGCCTGTGCAAGTAAAAATGGCAGAAGAATCCAGAAGAAGGCTGTGGGAACCCATACTAGAATAGTGTGTTGAAAGCACACAGACACATTAGGAAGGCCACTCGTGAAAGGGTTTTGCTGAAAAAGAAGACTGCAGATAAGCCAAGCATACAAGTTGCCAAAAAATCATGAAACTCTGAATAATGAGAGCTATGAACAGCAAAATTCATGGCTTGGAGCATATAAGACAATGTTTAAATGACAATTAGTACAAATGATATAAATAACTCACCCATAAAGGTCCTCCACAAAAGTCCTGCCATTCAACTGCACCCATTTAATACAATAAGTAGCCTTTAAAATGAATCTATCAATCAAAAAAGCTGCGAACTATATTCGTGTCACAAAATTAAATGCGTAATAAAGACATCGAATCAGAGAAAAAGGCAAAAGTAAACGTTTGCAAAAGTTTCGAGTCAGAGGCAAGGTAGATTGATCATCCTGTAAGAGAGGGTGTCACAAATGACCTTATACGGGTCCAGCTATAAACTGACGGTTAAATTGGTTGCGTTCATACTTTGCGAAGGCACAGCACTAACGTTCACAACGCGGTGGGTCGATGGCTGACTGTTTTACCCTGACCGTGAACATGGAGCAGAGACGGCAGAAGTCATGTTCAGGTTATAGAACTATGTCAGCTGAAGGTCTGGCTTAGCCAGGGGTTCCGTGACCTGCCAAAGACCTGACATATCAACAAATCTGGGAAGTAAGAGTAAGGCTTAGATTGTAGTTTCCAACTTCACAGCAGTGGAGAAACATTGAAAGAAGATTGATGAGTAGAAAGCGCGAAAATCTGCGAACAGCAAGAAGAGGAGAACTGTAAAACAGTTCACAATAACTTTGGGGTATCCAGCACTAGAGGAATAATGGGACTGATAGAACAGAATAGTGCAAAAGTGGGGAAGAAAACGTAAAAATCGGCATATTTAGAGGAACATAATGCTCAAAAAAGTAGTACATTTAGGGGTGGGACGAGAATGTGACGACAGAATCTGCATGGGTGGTATCTGTTCGAGCTGTTCAAATGTGCGCGCCATTGCATACAGCTGGCTGCAACAAGGGGCCGGCTGCTTTCATACTTCGACGTGCGTGCCGGCACGCAGGTGGAATCGCAGGTACAATCTTGCGTGCGGCGTGCGAGCGGCTATGCGACGGCGGCGCTATCCAAGTGTGTGGCAGCACTGGCAGGTGATCCATCGGCGTCAAATGTTGTCAACATCTCTCTAGCGCCGCCGTCGTATAGCCGCCCGCACNTCCTGCATCACATTTTTGTGGTTATGATCAACTCGGTGTTAGGTGTTTCGACACCAAACAACCCATGTGCTACTTTGTTGAGTTC